TAATTTCAATATTAGGCCCAGAAGACTATGCATGAACTTATTCTTCTCTTACTACACCTCTCACTCCCTCACAGTCCCTATAGACACTGACTGGGCTTTGACCTTTTTGTGCTGCTTCTCAGGATTTATATTCATTTAGCAATGTATGTGTTATAATAGAGTCAATAAAGACAACCTTTATGAAGAGAGATTTGAGAATCTTCTTTTTGAGACCCCAGAACTTGGCATCTGGTGTTCCTTTTAAGTGCTAGACGTTTCCCCTTTATCTTCCCTGTAGTTTTGTATTGTTGGTTGGTGGTTATCTGTACATGTGCTGTCTGTCTGAGTCTTTCTTTCACTCTGTGGTGCTTAGGTGAAATCTTTCTCAGAGTTGTGCTGTTGTAAGTAAGCTGAGTGAACACTGTCGGTGTAGATGACACTAAGTAAGCCGTTCAGCTGGATCATCCTGTGGTATGTGTCTCAGCTCGTGTACGGACTGACATGGCACAAAGGATGTCAGAGCTGTCTGGACTATAGAGTGAGTCGTGGCTGTCTGTGTGTCAGCAGGCCCCCCAGCTACACGATTATGTTTCTCAGATCCTGGGTCAAACTGTGTTTGTAGATATTAAAGTAGCTCGCTGTAGCCTGAACCGTTTTCCAGTGGGTGATGTTCGCCAAGCTGGATGATGAATTGAATGCTGGATGTCACCACAGTGGGCCACGCAGAATTGGACTTTGACAAATAAAACCAGCAAACTCTCACATTTGAGAATCTGTAACCAGGAACATTTGGCACTTTTGCTTAAAAAATGACTAACATTGATTTAAATTTGATTTTTTTTTAATTATATAACTAATCATCTACTTTTCTATGAATCCAGATGAACTTTGTCACTGTGTCAAACTCTAACTCTAATGCTAAGAATAGATTTGCCCAGATCAGGTGCACTGTTCTATAATAATGTATATTTGAATCAATCTGCGTGGGTTCTCTCCGGGTACTCCGGCTTCCTCCCACAGTCCAAAGACATGCAGCTTAGGTTGATTGGTGTCTCTAAAATTGCCCATAGGAGTGAGTGCGTGTGTGTGGTTGTTTGTCTATGTGTTAGCCCTGCGATAAATTGGTGATCCAATCCCCCCCGTGACCTCGTTCAGGGACTAAGCGGTAGAAAATGAATGAATCAATGAATCAATCTAACCTTGACTTTTCTTCTCACTGTGGCTGTTGTGTGATGCTGTGCAGGTGTGGTGTCCGACAGTCCCCACCTGTCTGCCTCCTCTGGACACTCCCACGGTATGGTCAACGGTCAGAAGTCACTGGAGCTGTGCAGTCACAGTCCCGACGGCCGACAACCTTCCCCACTCACCAGCCCGCTGCTAAATGACGCCTGCAGTGTTCGTACTGATGATGAAGATGAGGTTCGAAGGAAGGTGTGTAAACAAGAAGCACTTCAAGTTGTGTTGTTGCATTAAAAATTTTGTTCCTGAAGTTGTGCTTCAAAGCCACTGTCGCATAATGGAAAGAGCACTGGACCTAGAATACCTGTTCTAAATAAATCATATCCGGGTCTGATGCTGAATATTTTGTTGTAAATTTTTTCTGAGAAATTGGTTAGAGTGGCAGTCCAACTGATGAGCCACCAAACAAAGGTTGGACTTGATCAGTGTCTCTGCTGTGATGCCTTTGCAGAGGTTTCCAACAGATCGGGCCTACTTCATTGCCAAGGAGCTTCTGACCACAGAACGGACATATGTGAAGGACCTGGAGGTGATAACTGTGGTAAGACAGACCAAGTCCGTTCCTCAAAATGCTGCTGTACTACTTGTTTTCTCCTGCACTGTCCTCTAGTTACAGTAGAAAACAGATTTTTCTGGTTAGCTGCTCCACTGCCGAGCACCCGCTAAAGCACATTCAGGTAGTGACACAAGCCTATTTTGGCAGACGTGATTAAATTTTTTATTCATTTACCACAGTCTTGCTCTGAAATGCATTCATCTGTCTCACTCAAGGTGGTGAATACTAAGTTGTATTTGTATTTAACTCCATGTTCCCTCTGCATGTCACTCCCTATTTCAGCCCGTTCCTTTAGCTACTGTATTCCTGGCTCAGTACAAGCATATGGACACCATTTCAGCTGATAATATCTTCAGTGAAATGTGGTAGAATGCAGGATATAAAATGTGCAGTACATCTCATTCAGCTGTAAACAAGGAGGATGCTCTTACAAGAATGTACTGTATGTGCATGTGGAGAAAATGAATCTAATTCCTTGTTGTCACTGGCAGGTTTAAAGCTTCTCTTGTCTTGATATTTTCAGAGAAGCCTTGATCAAAGCACAGAAATATTTCTGTTGGCTCAGGATTGGTTTATCTAACACCCTCTTGTCCCGTACAATGGTTGGCTTTACTGTTCTTTGGGGTGAAGTCATCTGAACAACAGCTGGTGCTTCTTCTCAAGTCCTTCTAGAAGCACTCACATTTCTTAAAAACTCACTTCCGCTTCCCATAACATCAGCTAAATACAGCTGTTTTCTGGCTGCTCTGCCCAAACACACAGCATGCAACTTTTGGCTCCAGTTTGACTTAATGAAATGATTGGTTATCGATTCTTCTGTTCATACTGAGACAGTTAAGGGATTTAAGAGACGGCACAGCAACACAGATAGAAGGCTTTGGGAAGCATCATGTGAAAATCTGCTTATGCTATAATTTTGAACATTATGAGTTTGTGAGTTTTTACAAGCTTGCAGCCATTAAATCAGTACTTGAGTTACAGTACATGATCACCAAGCAATATCTGTTGCATTGCCACTTAATACTTGCTTTGTCCAGTTTAAAGTGTGCTTTGCTACATAGTCTACAATTTCTGGAACCTCTTGTAGTGCTCTGTCAGTGTCATCAGTGTCCCGTTTTCCTCAGAAACATCTTGTACAGCTCTCAAACTCAGAGCTATTGTGTAGCATTGTATTCTGGTTTGTAGTTCTGTGTTAAAATGCCCAGAGATAGAAGTATAAAATACCACAAGGATGCCCCCAAATCCACCAGCTCTCTAAACTGTGTTTAGCTTCTTGTTACTTCTCTTGGATGTGTGACCTTCACTGTGCAGAATGATGTAAGTGAACAGTTTGACAAGGATGCTTCCACTTTGATCTGCTCAAGGAAGATGGTTTCTTTGTGCAAGGGAGCGCAAGACATTCTTGCTCAAACATGATTTTATAACATCGGGACCAGCAGCCAATCATGGTCCAGTATGGAACTTACACACAGATGATCTGCTCATACACTGAGAATGGGTTTTTTAGTGAGGAAGACATCATGTTTATATATCTTAAAGCATATCTTTTACTCTCATGTACTGTATATCTCGGTGAGACCTCTTCCTTTTGGGGTCGGCTGTGGCTCAGGAGGTAGAGCAGGGGTCTTCTAACCGAAGGATTAGTAGATTGATTCTCAGCTTGTTCAGCTGAAGTGTCCTTGATCAAGACACTGAACCTAGTGATTACACCGGTGTGTGAATGTGTGAGTGCTTGGAAGTGTGAAAGGGCTTTGCGTGCGCTGTGATGCATAGAAAAGCTCTATACAAGTTTAAGACCATTATATGTGTGTTTGTGATCTCAGTCTTTTCAGAGTGCTATAGGACAAGATGAAGCAACTCCAGATGCTCTGAAGAACATCATCAACTCCACCTTCGAGCCTTTGCACAAGTTCCACACAGGTTTTCTCAGGGAGGTGGAGCAGAGGCTGGCTCTGTGGTGAGACTCATTAATTTCCTCCAGACATTCCCTGCAGGGTTAACAACAGGCTAGCTTGTTTCAGTCCAGTTATTTACATCTTCAGTACTGTTTTCTGTAGTTTTTCCTCATTGCTAACACACTGTAATTAGAAATCCATACCTTTACCTCAGGTTTCAAATGATACTCACTTTCACAATATGTAAACTTTTTTTTTTTTTCCAAATTCCTACACCAAAGTGGTACATCGATCAGTCCAATGAACTCAAACCATCCTTTGAACTCAATGTGCACACTAAGACACTAAGCCACAAAGTTTGTGACATGGCCAGAATTGCAGGATCCAATAAATCTGGCCATTGCAGTGACTATTAGGCCTTTTCCACTGTAGAAACTCACCAACCTGTCACAGATTATGTACTTTTTATCTGGAGTCCTGCTTTTGTTTCTTCTGCTCATTTCTGCAAATTTGCGTTCTGTTTGTTCAACAGCTGTTTGACAAACTGCTCATACAGTCACCGTTACTGGCAAGATTAGGGAGCATTGTGATCGCTCTCTGCTCAGCTCCACCCACACACTCTCAGCACATCTACTTGCATTCCTAGTTCAACTTTCTAACCATCTTCAACACCAAAGAGGGGCCAGTGCAGACCCAGGATGTTGTCATTTGACATAATGACCCCTCTGGTTCAATGACCATCCTACAGTCACTGATTTTTTTTTCTTGCCTGCACATTCCTCATTCCTCAACGCAGCTGAGCAGTTTTTCTCTGTACCACAGTGGAAAATGTATAACAGAATCCCTTACACAAGGGAACACCTTTCGGCAGTTACGGAAGAGGCCTGTTTGGATGTGTCTTTGGAAGCCATCCAGGGGTGGATAATGCCCAGTAGTGCACACTTCCCACGCTGCCTGACAAGGGCTGACATCTTATATGAAGTGTATTAAATTCTATGGCCTGACACAGACCACAGGAGAGATATGGAGAATGGTGCAGAGTAGCTGGAGTTATATTTACAGAACTGTATTTTTTATAGCAGTGTGAATTTACCTACTCTGCCTACCACTTTAATATTTGCTTAAAATAAATGAAAACCTTTGTATTCTGTCAGTGTGCATTTCACAGGTGTTGTTGCTTACTGTTTTGGATGCCTCTTTACTGTGTGTTCCTGTAAGTGTAGGTCATTATAATGTAAGTTGACCTTAAAACACCTGTTTCAAGAAAAACAACACCTTTTGAACAACTAGATTTTGAAGTTCGATGTTGACCTGGAAGTTAGATGAGACATTTTGAGACTGTGTGTAGTTTAGAGATGATGATCAATTGTTTCAGAAAATGTGTGTTAGCAATGGGGAAAAGCTGTTATGAGTTTTAATGGCGTTTAGGGCGATCCCAGTCTCTTTACATGACCTGAGGAGCGATTGTCTCCATGGCAACAGCCGTGCTGCACTGTGGCCGGGCTTTTCTTGCTTGTGGGTTACTGCTGTCTTATCTCCTTAGTGAGGTTGTGCTTTATCCAGCTGACTCATACATACACACAGGCATGCAGACAGTGGTACATGACGCCCCTCAGCCTGTTAATGTACAGCCATCAAATGCAAACATCCAGTTTATTTTTTTTACTGCTGGCTAGTCATTTGTAGAACTCCATATTAAAGTGAAAGTGATACTACAGTCAGCTCTGCTGATATGAACCACATTCAAATCTGTATGCAAATTCTACAGCCATACCTGTCATTTTTGTGGGGGTGGGGCTTAGCATATTCAAATATTACAGCACATAAATACCTTTGTTATTGTGACCAGGATGAGGAAGCTGTTTGCTGGAGATGAGCATGAATGTGTTTTACAGACTGAGATGTGTTTTTGTAAAGTTAATGTTTTAAAATGTTGTACCAAATTAATAAACTTCCTGAATGAATCCAGTAATGGCAACTCATTACTCCTGCACCCTGGATGGGGAAAGCCATCCATGCTCAAGGGAGACACCTACTGGTGGATCTCTTTCTCAAACTTTAAAGAGCCTTTTCCAACTTCACTGGAATTTAATTTTTTTTTTGCAGAAGTTGAAGCTCATTTGTGTAACTAATAAGCTTTTATGCAGCTTAGTCAATTAATTAATTCTGCTGATGTTTATCTCTTTTAGGGAAGGACGTTCTAATGCTCATATCAAAGGAGACTCCCAGCGGATTGGAGATGTCATGTTGAAGAACCTCCAAGGCTTGAAGGTGAGGAAGCACTTTGTCAAACTCTTTCATATCTGAGTATAGCTAACATAGTTGAGTAACTTGTACTCATATGCTATTTTCTCTGTCTGCATGTAGCCACTGACAGCAAACCTGCACAAGCAGTCTGAAGTTCTGCTGGAGCTGGAAAAAGCATGCAGGGCGTCCCGCAAGTTGGAGGGTCTCTGCAGGGACTTTGAGCTGCAGAAGGTCTGTTACGTCCCCCTCAATGTCTTCATTCTGCGGCCTCTGCACCGTCTGATTCATTACAAGCAGATCCTGGAGCGTCTGTGCAAACACTACCTGGCCACTCACGTGGACTTCAGGGACTGCAGAGGTACTATGCTCACACCAGTGTTTTATAGGTAATCCGGTACAGCAGAATAATAATATATAACAGACAGTGCATGGTGATCTCTTGCCTGTGGTTGGTGTATAGCTGCACTGGCAGATGTGTCTGAGGTGGTGGAGCAGCTCCAGGGAAGCCTAATCAAGATTGAAAACTTCCAGAAAATTCTGGAGCTTAAGAAGGATTTGATTGGCATCAACAATCTAGTTGTTCCTGGTCGGGTGAGTTCAACTCTTCAAAGACTGGACTGGAAAGGATTTTAATTCTCTATCTCACTTAATTAAATGGCATGTTTTTTGTTTTCTCTTGTCTCAGGAGTTCATCAGGTTAGGCTGCCTCAGCAAACTGTCTGGGAAAGGCCTACAGCAGCGAATGTTTTTCCTGGTAACACCCACATTCTGAGATTGGGTCACATCTAATCATTTATTTCAGTCATCTCAGCAGAAAAGTCCTCATGCTTTTATCCTCTCCAGCTATAAATTACTCAGATGGTGCATGTATGGAAAAATAAGGCATGTTACTCATAATTATATGAAAATATATTTGTATGGTGGAACATTGTGCTGAAGAATAGTTTTTAAAGTTCAGTCCTTGTGGTATAATTTTTATGACATTATGCTCAAGCTCATAATTTCCCAGCAATTATAACAAGTTGTTTATGCCTTCTTGGAATAGTTTATTAGTTTAGTAATTTAAACAAAAACCAGACTCGGTGGCATTTTGTTTGGAAGATTCTTCAATTTCCATTTTCTCTGTACCTCTCTCTGCCTCCCTGGCCATAGTTCAGCGATGTCATTTTGTACACAAGTCGAGGGATGACGGCGACTAATCAGTTCAAAGTGCACGGGCAGCTGTTGCTTCGTGGCATGACAGTAAGTGCTGCATCTCTCAGCTGAACACAAAGTGCCTCAAGTGGCTGTCACCAGTTTATCATTACTGCAAATTAGCTGCAGCCCTTTCAGCATCTGCCTCTACCCAAACAACACACAGACACAGTCATACACACACTTTCAAGACTACTGCACATGTCCTCTCCGACTTCCAACCTTCTTTCCTTTTCTATTTTGGTCCTTTCTGTCCTAGATCCCGCTGCTCTTAAATGTTTTTTTCTATGTCTGTGTTCTTTCAGATCAGAGAGAGTGAAGACGAGTGGGGTGTGCCTCACGCCTTTACACTGGTCGGACAGCAGCAGTCACTGGTGGTGGCAGCAAGGTAAATGTAACAGTAGATGTCAACACAGAGACACCTTGTACCTAGTCCTAAAATAAACGCAGAGGAGTTTTATGTACATTTCTTTTTCTGGAGAGTCCAGACTTTCATGTGGCGCTATTAGAGGATTGTTACACATGCACTCTTGTCAGATGTAGTGAATTCTCACAAATAATGACAAAAACACATACACTATTAGAAAAGGTGACATTTCTACTGGGGTTGAGGGCGACATGTCTCCTTCACTTTTCTAAATGCTGTTTTTGCTCCCATCACTTTTCCAGCTTCAGCAACTCACTGAAACTAAACTCTACATTTCTGAGTCTGAATGTATCAGTCATAAAGTACTGTGTGAATTGATGTAATTTTAAGGGGGTTAATCAATAATCAATTTGCTTTGATAATCATTTTGATGTTATTAATAATATTAGAATGTACATACTGTAACATTTACATTTTTTTTTCTTTTGATATTTTCTCTGGTTGGTTTTTATGCATTATGCCCCTGATTGTTACTTTTTTTTTTAACTTGGACAAAAAACCAGAAGATGAATTTTCAGCCTGACATTCTGCACTTTCCTTTAATGAGCAGATAGTGTCTTAATAGTTTTAGGCAGATTTAGCAGTACACCTGGATCCATCATGTGACATTCTTGCTACTAAGACTATCTCTGATCACCAGGCCACCCTGCTGTGACTCACACCCATTTTGCTCCAGGGAAATTTTTATTTTTGTGTATTTTTCCCTGTAGTTCATCGATAGAAATGGAGAAATGGATGGAGGACATAAAGACGGTGATAGAGATGGCAAAAACCAGCAACGGGCCTTCATCTGACCTTCTGACCAACAATCTCACAGACAACAGTAGGTTACTCAGTAAACATACTGTTGAGTATTGAATGTATATTTTGTAGTTCTGTTCAACAATAAGTGAAAGAGAAAGGTAACTGTCAGACAATCCTAAAACCCCACCAACTGACATCCCAGATACACAGGACTACATTTGATTTGTGAATAATCTGATGCTGTTTGTGTCGTAGCGCCTTTCTCCCCTCGTCACCCTGCTCATTGTCTAGCAGTAACAACCTCCTGACTTTCCCAGAATGCCCTGAGGACTCCTCGATGGAGGTGGAGTCTGAGGATGACATGACAGCATCGAGCACCTCGCTGGAGAGGCCCACCCCTCACCGTGGTAACACCATGGTGCACGTGTGCTGGCACAGGAACACCAGTGTGTCCATGGTGGACTTTAGCATAGCTGTGGAGGTACCGGCCAAACCTCAGCACTCAGCCTCAGACCTGCCCCTCCCTTCCTGCCTCGCTGTTTTCTTTCTCTGTTTCTGAGTGTGTGCTGAATCTGAAATCACTCTGACTGTCTCTCAGTGGGAACAGGATCCTCCTGTGCTGCATTTCACCATCTTCACTACATTTAATGACATGTTTTCTGCTAGTTTGAGCTAATGAACTGAAATGATTTTAAAGCTCATTCTTTTCATATACATGTAAAAGAATATGAATACTTATTTTAAAATAGGTAAAAATCACAAAACAAATTAAAACATAGGCACAAAATTATTCTGTAGATTCCATCTGCACTTCAAACAGCCAATCTTTTCTTCTAAGAACGTGAAGGTAAATCATCAGCAGCTTGTTTTCGTTTTCTCCAGTATTTTTCTCTGCACTCTAACTAAGCCATGCTCGTTTGGAAGAGGACTTAAAGTACAACAATATGTGACAGTAAGAGACAACTTTTGGGTGAGGAGGGATCTGTTTAAAAGCACCCTGTGGATTTTGGTTTAAACAGACAATGATAATGATGTTTTAGCCACTTGTGGGTTGAAGAAAAACAGCTTGTGAATACATCTTTCAGAAATTGTTGCCTTTTAAGTTAATACAGTGAACTTATTAATAATCAGTTATTTATACATCCACCAGCTACAGAGCAATGTTATCATTTATGTGGAGCCATATTTGTGTCCACCTGATGAATCTTTGATTCTCTTCTAGCTCTGTTTTTGATCTCCACCAGCTCTTGAGGGAAAAGTCAGGCTCTGTAGCTGCTAGCTCTTTCACCATGTTCACCTGCAAGGTGTGCTACCTGTGTCTGCCTGCTGCTGGTGTTGAGCAGGAAGTGCACAGTGGATTTTTAGAGCTTTTTTGCTGACAGTAGCTGCCTGCTGTGGCTGAAAACAGTGCTATGAGAGCAGTGACATTGAACCAAATCAGCTGTGGGCTGGAAAGCTAGCAGTCACATATTTTAAATCATGCTTTGTTTATATTCATGTTTGCTAGCCAGCATTCTTGTCCTCTACTGCCCTTGTTTCTTTACACATTAGTTCCTCAGGCAGAATAGTATGAAGCCAAGGCTAGATGTTAATCACGCCACCTGCACGCCTGTACATGTGCATGTGCATCCTCGTGCGTGAACAATGCAACCAAAAACAGGACGTCCTCTTGTAAAAGCATTGCTCTGTTGTGCATCACTGTCGCTGAGCCTTAAGTCACTGTACAGTATGTTAAGGCTGATTTATTCACTTTGCTCGCAGCCACAGTTAGGATCCTGTTCCCACCTTTCCCTCCTGTGGCAGACAGTAGCCAGCCTGAACTCAAAGCTGTGGCTTTCCTGTGTGGTTCTGTCTTTTTCCCCCTCCGGCATTTGAAATCTCTGATTAGCTATAAAAAGCGAGAGAGAGCAGTACATAGATGTGCTACAGTAAATGTCCTCAATTCACACTCACAGAACGGATCCTGGTTTGGGATGTAGCGACACTACAACCCAGCTGTTCCCTGATCTACTTCTGCTCTTCCTCTAGTTGTAACAACGTCCTCTTTACAGCCTTGCCTGGACACACCGTCGGCCTCTGTGTTAACCCCTGCCACTGCATGCCTGTATTTCACCTACTCAGTCTCTGTGTTTCTGTCCCTCCCTCCCTCCTTCCCTCCCTGTCTGTTTTTTTCTCTCTGTGTCTCTCTTTTCCCCATGCGTCTGTGCGTTCCTCCGTGGTAGAGGACCCTAGTCCAGTCAGTGAGAATAAGGCCCCCCTGGTGGGGCCCCCCAGTGGCCAGGGACCAGTGCCTCTGTCTGTTATCTGCTGGTACCGTGTTCAGAGCCTTTCCTTTAGTGAATCCTGCAGGAGTCTAGAGGTAAAGGATCCAGGCAGACAGGACAGGGCCTGTGTGTGTGTTTACTTGAACTGCACCATAAGAAGCAAAGTTATCACATGCTTAATAGGAATAAAATGAAAGAGAAATAACTCTGGTGCCTCATATTGTATAGGTTAGTGATGTATTCATTGGCTTTATTGAAATTTGTGATGACATCTAACATTCAAAACAAAAGTGACGGTAGAGGCACCTTGATTATTAAGAATAACGTACCTGAAGAGCCAAAAGCTGTTGCAAGTTGTTAATATTTTTAAACCAGTGGTTCTCAGCCAGGGTTAATCGGGTGGTACTTTTGCATTTGCCAGGGTTATGTGGAAAAATTGTTGAGTAACTTGATAGGGCTGTGAGACAAAGCCGGCTGGGGACCACTGCATAAAACACTATGAGCTAAGCAACAGTACAGTGCATTTGAAATGATGATCCCTTCCTCTGCATTTTCATATGCTAACAGTGCACTTAGTGTGACTTCTATGACTCTATGTAGCTCTACACTTTTGAAATGTGTTTTGTTTTCCCTCCCTGCAGAATCAGCTGTCAGGAAATTTGCTGAGGAAGTTCAAGAACAGCAACGGCTGGCAGAAGCTCTGGGTGGTCTTCACCAACTTTAGCTTGTTTTTCTACAAGTCTCACCAGGTGATGAAAATTCACTCTCGGTTACTGCTGTTTGTCCACAACATCTGCCACGTTAGCGCCCCTCTTCGCTCTGCACCTGTCAAAGTGTTGATGCTCCTCTGGACAGAAAGGCATCACGTCTCTGTGTTGAATGTCAAACCCATGTGCCATGTTAGAGGTGAACATACGTTCCCCTGCGATGTTTCATCTCACTTATGTCCTTAGAAAATGTTTGCTGGCAGTGTTTAAAGTAGAGCTACTGTGAGTTTTAAATGTGCATTTAGAGAACATTTGAAATAGTGAAATCTGTTTTAAAAAAAATCATTGTTATATTTAAAAGAAATACTTTTTTAGAGCCAACAACTCCTCTGTTATTGACACCACATTCATTTGACAACTTTACTTGTGATGCTGCTTTGCTGTTAATACACATGATTTTAAATGCAGGACTTTTACTTCTAACAGAGTATTTGGTGGTTTTACAAAGTGGTTTTGTCACTTTTACGTGAGTAAAGGATCTTGACACGTCTTCCAGTATGCTGCATCTCTTTTCTGCTGTACTACTCTATTTTATTGGCAGTGATGACCATTGTTTACTGTTCTTTTTCTTTTATAGTAGTGAAATATACTTAAAATTGAAATGTAAATTGAATTTTTGTTTGTCCTCAGGATGATTATCCACTGGCCAGTCTTCCTCTACTGGGTTACTCAGTCACCATCCCCTCTGAGTCTGAAAACATCCACAAGGATTATGTCTTCAAACTGCATTTCAAGTCCCACGTCTATTATTTCCGGTCAGAGAGTGAATACGCGTTTGAGAGGTATAGAGACTAATCATCCAGATGCACATTTCCTGAGTGTATTTGCACTTTTGTTGCCTGTCAAATGCCAGGGCTGATAGAACATGCTTGTCGGCCCACAGGTGGATGGAGGTCATCCGCAGTGCCACGGTCCCCTCTAGTCAGGCTTGTGTGCTGAACAGCAAAGAGTCCCATCTTCACTGACTCAGCTCACCTTGTTTCCACACACTGTCTCCTTCAGGTGTCCTTCCTGCCCCCCCACCACCCTGGGACTCTTTTCTTTTCTACTCATATCTGGGACATTTGTACATGTTGTCCATGCACATTTGGTGCTTTTTAATGCTTTAATGGTGACATGTCCGCTGGTTTAGACTGCATCAGAGACTGCATTTTTTGGCGTTTTTACTCTCAACTCTGAAACCTCTTTTTAAGGATGTCATTTTATACAGTTTTCTAACGGTCAGATTCACTTCCTATCTTTCTGCTTTTACATTTTGTCATTGGTTGTTTTTACAGCAGATATAGATGTGAAGCATTTTTTCTTAGATGGTTAAACTATCATGGCATTGTCATAACGTTTTTGTCTACTTGTTCATATTATTGAAAATGGCTGCTTTGAAAATATCAAGCAACTTTGGTGCCAAACCGGTTTATATCAGTGTCCTTGACTTTTTAATGCTATTTTGTTACATCGGAGATCATGAATGTCTCTTACACTGTATATCATGAACTTATAACCATATAAAACAGGCCACCCTTTAAAAGTTAGTGCTCTGTTCACACCTGACCCAGCACAATGTGTTCTTATGTACAAAAGGGAAAAAAAGATGATGAAAATATAAAATAATCTTGATGTATTTTTGACAGAAACCTGGATTGATCACAGTGTTGGCCAGAGGTAGCTGCCATCAACACAAATGCCATTTCAAGTAAAGTAAATATTCTATTTGCTAATCTTAGTTGTATGAATATGTCTCAGACTGTTTTGCTTTTTAAAAATCGACTACGAAGTTTCCCTTCAGCTGTTTGAGAAAATGTGGGACATAATCATTGTATTATGAAAGTAAGTGTAAAAAAGCTTTAAAGATTATGTGTGAAACAAAATAGAAACTTTCAGTTCCAAGCACCTCCCATATACAGATAATGGATTTTATGGGTCTAAATGAATGGAAATATGCATCAGACAGGGGTTTGCAGGGAAGCAAATCACATGTAAAACCTCAGTTCTGCTTAGAATTGCAGTGTTTTTCCAGACAACAGAAAGCTCGCTGGGAATGAAAGCAATAAAAAAAAACTTATTCAGATTTTTATTTGTGTTACTTGTGTTTGTTTGTTTTTTTTGTTTTTTGTTTTTTTGCAGAAGTGATGTTTTTAGTTGACTGCGAAAATAAAAACAGGTGATAAATGAAAAGTAGAGTAGTGGAGTCACTGTTATCCTGGAAGAGACCACTCATTTATTCAGGTTTTTCCTTTAATTTGTCACCTGTCTGTGCATAGAGTTAGTACATATAAGGCTGCTCTGTAGTGTGTTTATAGGCGTGACCTATAGATGGCAACATTGACCAAGAAGTAATGTTCAGTCAAGTCATAATCACAATATCCTGTATAATATATTACAAACACACAGTACAAGCAATATCAATCAGTGTGGTCTGAAGACTGGGTGCCAAAATATAAATAACTTTTATTTTTGAGTAAAAGAATTATCTGCATTTAGCTCTTGGTTCCATCGGGTGTCTGGTGCCTATACCAGCGGGCCAAACAGGGTGTAAGCAGCACTACCTGTGTGTGCACTTGTGTATTTCTCAGACACATTTTACAGGAGGGGTTTCAACTAATTGTGATCCAGGGACCACCATTCTGACTAAGAAGCAACCTGGGGAGCATTGTTGTAGAGGGGATAGCCAGTATTTAATCCTGAAGGTCACCTCAGCTTTTCTAAATCTTATATATTTGCATGGATTTGATTATTCACAAACAATGAGTAATACATGGAAATGTGTTTTAACAAAAGAAGATTCCTGCAGTGCAACTACTATGGAATATATGTTCAATAACCACCTTCAGTGTCTTCACAAACCACCAGTGGGCCACCGACCACTGGCTGGAAGCCCCTGCTCTAAAACACAAGCTAGTGAACTCACTTTAAATCCTTATAAAACCTTAAGATTTTGTTTTTCCCTCCAGGTTGTTAGCTTCAAAGGTCAGTTAAACAATCACAACTTTGTGGTTCCATGTAAAAAAGTGTTAGTAGAAAATCAAATTTGCTCCTTTTTAACAGTGTGTACAGTATATTCAGATGCCAGATGGATGACAGAACACGGTAGTAACTCCACAAAATATAATAAGCATGTTCTCAAGCGTTGTGATGTTTGTGGTAATGGGGAAAATATTGATTCAGTCACATGCTGTCCAAAGTCCAGATCCAATGGCGCACACACAGCCGGGAGTGGGCAGGCCTTTAAGCCGGTAAGGGGCGGAGTGCGTTCAGAAGACAGATTATACACCTCCTGTCTGGCGCTGGGCAGCCAATGAAACGCTTATCATTGGGATACATTATTGTAAATCATTTGGACGAAGGTAGAACTGCGGGATAATGATACGTACGGTGACGTTTAGAAACGAAAAGTATGAGATCGAAAAGTGGGAGTGAAGCAACATCCGCACCATAACATGACCCAGCTTTTAACTCGTGGTGTGCAGTAGGGTGGGGGAACAGAGAGACGGATACGCCGGTGATGATTTCTCTGTAAACTTGGTCGATTTAACTTGTGGATTGGACTGCCATTGGTGTAAAGTGGTGCGCAACGATGGCTACTCCCGCGCACCCGGAGACCAGGAAATTTACGCGGGGTCTGAGTAAACCTGGCACGGCGGCCGAGCTCAGGCAAAGTGTCTCTGAGGTGGTGAGGACGTCTGTGCTGGTAGTAAGTACACACCTCAAAATCCCACTTCTCGTCCTAGATGATATAACAGTGATCGGTGTCATCGTGTCTATTTAAAACTAAATGGAGCAAACAATGGCCTGATTTTTACGCACATTTCCTGCGAAGAGGGAGTT